TTCGACGTCGATGACACGTCGTAAAATATGACGTCGAAACAACGTGGTTATTTTCGACGTTGTTAACACATCATCGAAACGACGTCGAAATGACGTTGTTTTTCCAACGTTGTCAACACGTCGTCAAAATGACGTCGAAACGACGTTGATATTTGGTCGATCGACGTACCGACCACATTTCAACCAAATTTCGACGTCGAAACGACGTCGTGTGCCCACTGGGATTTAACCAAACTATGTTAGGCATGGCTGGATTTTGAGGGGAGGTGTGGTGAGCACCGCACCTTCCCTGAGATCGTTTTGCACTTCCCCTGAGAATTTTTGCACTTCACCTGAAAAGTCATGCACCTCTCCTTGGGAAAGTTTCGATGATAGACGTACCATGCATAGTGAAAATTGGACATTTTTTGGTCGCTTGGAGTCTACACTTCGTAAGAAAGTTTTTTCTGTAAAATTGAAACAGTCATGATAGCCATTCATCTCTGTGTCAATTACGCTTTTAATGCAATGTTTTGAAAGAAACTTTGTTAGTAATTGTAATGAAGGGCAAAACTGGACGAGTTGTACAGTCATAATTCACTAATACGCTGATACATATGTACACTACATGCATACATGCATACATGCATACATCAATTCCACCAAAATCCGGCCTTGATGTTAAGTGGATAAATAACCATGGGCCCCTGGTTATTTATCCACCTAGTTTAGTCTCTGTTATTTTAACAATGACATCCTGGTCAAATACAACCAGATTCCTGGTTATAGATTATCCAGTATAGTGGAAATTGAAATGCTATAGCCAGGAAATTTAGACCATGTTCACTCTAAGGCGGCGCTGATGCAGCTTGTAAACTGCGCTGAATAATCGCAATTAACGTTTGTGTTCATACTACGGTACTCCGGAGCGAAATTGTTTGAAAACGTCTCTTTGCCGTAACAATTTGAGCACGGTTTTTAAACGGAGCGAGATGAAAACGGGGCGCTTGGCGGCTTCATCTCTCCACTTTAGCATTTTTTTTATTATCTTTTACTATTATTTTCCTTCATACTGTATATTCTTTTGACATAATGAAATAAATGAAATAATGTTTTGTTTTCTGGGTTTTGTTATAGGTATGCACAATGTGCTTTCGTTGTTTTGTGCATTGGTCACGGAGAACAAGGTGTTGTTGTTTTCTAGCAGTTACTCATTGCTCACCAGTGCTTCACTTGGCCTTCTTGCTCTCATGTATCCTCTAAAGTTTAGGTTTGTATACACCAGTGAACTCTATTATATATATATATATATATATATATATATATATATATATATATATATATATATATATATATATATATATATATATATATATATATATATATATATATATATATATATATATATATATATATTTATATAATTGCAAACTTCGCAAGACTATATTATCCGCATTTTACAACATTTCGCAACGAAACTTTGGAATATTACTAATTTGGTGATGCTCTTTCAAGCTGTGATGAAATTTTTGTCTAGATCAAAATTTAGTCTATTACGCAAGTGGTCAATTGGTCGGTCATTATTAGATCATTACACATATTTACATTATAATCAGCAAAATAATCTCCAGCGAAAAGATTGATTTCAATATATATAAGGAGAATTACGACGTTTCCAGCGAAGGTCCTTCGTCTGGAGTTACTAGACCTGACTCTTCCACAGTCCCTCATCCGTCATTCGTACACGCGATCGCCTTCCCATTAAGCCCCGCGCTCCCATTGTTTTTCCACTGATCTGTATTCCCAACTGAGGCGACGAGGGACGAGGCAGTCACTAGACAGTAAGTAGCGCGTGAGGCGGTTTCTACAAAAAACCGAAAAAACCGAGTGAACCTGTTTTTTATAAAAATATGTTCGAAAATCGAAGCTACGGTAAAAAAGACACAACACGCTACTCGATACTCACGCAAGATATTAAACGTAAGGTATTTTGAAGACGCTATCAAATTTCAAACAAAATCTCTCTAGTTTTTCGTGTGTAAATGCCAAAACTTGATTCATTTGCAACAAGTATGGTTCGATTTTAGTAAAATACCGATTTTTCGTCGTTTTTTTTTTCGTTTCCCCCGGTTTTTTCGGTTTTCCGGTTTTTCTCCAAAAGTAACATCGAGTGTTTCGGTTTTCAAAAAACATCGTTTTTTTTCCGGTTTACCGAAAAACCGCCCCACCCTAACAGTAACTAACCCCAGAATTGCTCTAGTAACTCCAGACGAAAGTCCTTCGCTCGAAACGTCGAAATTCTCCTTATATATTTTCAGGTAGTTGCATCCCTACCAAGGAAAGCTTGTTCATTTTATTGGCAATACCTACACTGGCAAAGACAGTTTAAGATGATTTCAATATACAATACCGAAGTCAGCTTGACATTACGAAGCCCTTTCAAACGAGCTAGGTCATCATGTTGGTCAAACAACATATACTCGAACCGACCTGACCGCGTATAGCTCAGTTGGCAGAGCATTGGGCTAGTATTCCAGAGGTCGTAGGTTCGATTCCCACCGTGGCCAGGCATTTTTTCAAGCCTGCCCGGTGTGGATATACACTCAGAGCAACATCACAAGCATCATATTCACCTGAGTACACATTACACCAACACAGAAAAAATCACGACTACTAGATTGCATTGACATCGAAGGAACTAGACTCATTTCCGAAATATCACATATTCGTACCAACCCCGTAGCTCAGTTGGCAGAGCATTGGGCTAGTATTCCAAAGGTCGTAGGTTCGATTCCTACCGTGGCCAGGCATTTTTTAAGCTTGTCCGGTGTGGATATACACTCAGACAGTCCTCGCAATTTTGATAAATCTTCGGCGGCAAAAAATTGCCGCCGATATTTCGAAGTTCGGCGGCAATTTTTTTGTCACTATAAATTGACACTTTGACAGAGAACAGAATTATTTTATATTTAGTATTCTCTTGACTCTACCAATTAAAAGTGTTTAATATTCAAGGAAACCTTGTTTCACACACAATAACATTGAGACCAGCTATCAGAGTAATTCCATGCCATTTCAACACAAAAAAAAACTGATTTGACACCCACCCTCTCCAAATTTCTTTATATTCCGCAGGCAGTTAACATTGTGTGGGAATGGTTTAAGTTCAAAATTTGAGCATCTAGCTGCAATAGTTTTTGAGATATCGCAATTCGAAATATGGCCTGAAAAGCAAAAAAGTGGGCGTGGCCAGTGCTAAATTCTCCTTTACTCTATTTTACATTTTGACTTGTAACTTCATACCTGTACATGGTATATCCATCAAAATTTGCACAAAGATGTATTTGTATGTGGAGATTTCAAATATTGCACTTTCATGTTTGTATCTGCAACCAGTAATGTGTTATTGGACAGCAAAAAGTCTAATTATGTGTTTCTGAAGACACGAAATATACATCATCTTTATTGGAAAAATTTTTATGGAAGCCATACAGACACATCAGTAATTTTTATTCCACATCATATCCACATGCTATTCTACTTTCAAGCATAATTTGGTGATGGTTAGTTGCCTGCTTTAAAAAGTAGAGCCCTTTAAAGTTGTCGTATTTTCTAAATAACTTTAATAGTACATTTTGGGTGTTTGTTAAGAATGAAATACATTCATTGAAAAATGAGACTGCCAAATACCTTAGTGTTTCATTCTATCCTTCTTTATGGATAGTGCGTATTTAAAATTTGTTTTAAAAGTTTAAAAATTACATATTTATTAATAGTATATGCACAAAAAGAATATCAATGGATCAAAAGTATGCACTACAATTTATTTCTTATGATCTTATCTACCCCTTCTCGTGAACCAATTGTACTTTCAGTGAACTCTTTTATTGTATGCTTGTAAGATGGTGAAAAATGGCTTGATTTGATTGAAGAAGTTGACAATGATCAAAGAAATGCAAAAATTAATAAGGTTTATGCACCCAAAGTGCATCGCAAGATCATATTTCTGGCCAGTAAGAGGATACTTGTTAGCGGTTGACCGATAATTGCGTCGTGTACTCGTGTCAGACATACGTTTCAACGGAAACTCTTAAACATCTTTATCGAGCTTTAGTCCAACCACACTTTGATTACTGCTCGATGATTTGGGGTAACTGTGGCGAATCTTTAAGAGGCAATCTTCAGAAACTTCAAAACTGAGCTGCAGAAGTTATTACTGGTGACTCATATGAAATACGCTCCATAGATATTTTAAAGAAACTAGATTGGAAAACGTTAGGTGAAAGAAGGACGGAGCAACAACTAAAATATGTATCAAAAGCACTTACATGCCAATTTCACGATAACATTTCGGACATGTTTAAACTATATAATTCAGATCGATATGAATTTAAAAATAACAAAAATAAGTTGATGTTGTTGAAGCCAAAAACAAATTCAATGAAACGAACTTTCGGTTATGTTGCTGCTAAAGTTTGGGATGAAAGAAATAAAATTTTTATATAATTTTATCTGGGTGAGGTTGAAGTGAATAATAAACTTTGAATGTCTTTCTAAAATAATTCGGGTGGTTCGGGGAGGGTGGGTGCATGGGAATCTCTTATACTGTCTGTAAGTACACAGCCTAGTGAAAAGTAACGACAACTTTGTTAATATTTTTTTAGTTGATTAGCTACCGTGTTACAAGATGTTTTTAATAAAAGAGTAAATAAAATATTATAATCAGAATCGGACCGATTTTTGCTTATTGTATTTTCCGATTGTGTAAAACCGATTGTTGAGAAAATACGCACTTATGTAAAAATCGTATATATTGCGCTGTGATACACGTTGAAATGCAATTTTTTATGTGAAAACAACAACTGTTTAATCTCTTGCGCGAACGGTAGCGTGTTGCATCTGACTCGTACCCAGTCGTCAATACGATTTATATAGATCAGTGTACGGAGTTTTGCGACCATTCCCATCATGCACCATTATTTTAATTAATCCTCATTTGAGGGACTGGGTACGAGTCAGGTGTTGCATAGTAGGTGTGGAGCAAACCGTTGCCGCGACGAAATAATACGTGAAGCGTGTCATTTATGTACAGGTTTAACAAACTTTGGTTGCTACTAGTAACATGTTACGTTGGAAATTATCATTAAATTCTCGAAATGGATTATGACGTCATAGATAATCAGAATCGGGTAAATTATTGGATGAATAATTGATAATAATCGGTCAATCACTAATACTTGTCGGGTTTCGGATGAGAACATTATTTCTAACATTGGTGTTCCAACAATAGTCACTGGGAGGCAGTACAAACTGCAGCCTAAAGACAAAGAAGTCTTACGCACATTCATGGATAAACAGTAGTGATCTCTATATATACTTCTTAAGGTAATTTGATACAAGAAATAACGTTACTCTTGGAGAACATAATGTACTATTAAAAAAGAATGTTAGAATCAAACATTAAGGTATTTGGCAGTCTCATTTCTCAATGAATGTATTTTATTCTTAACAAACACCCAAAACGTACTATTAAATTATTTAGAAAATACGACAACTTTAAAGGGCTCTACTTTTTAAAGCAGGCAACTAACCATCACCAAATTATGCTTGAAAGTAGAATAGCATGTGGATATGATGTGGAATAAAAATTACTGATGTGTCTGTATGGCTTCCATAAAAATTTTTCCAATAAAGATGATGTATATTTCGTGTCTTCAGAAACACATAATTAGACTTTTTGCGGTGCCATAACACATTACTGGTTACAGATACAAAGATGAAAGTGCAATATTTGAAATCGCCACATACAAATACATCTTTGTGCAAATTTTGATGAATATACCATGTACGGGTATGAAGTTACAGGTCGAAATGCAAAATAGGGTAATGGTGAATTTAGCACTGGCCACGCCCACTTTTTTGCTTCTCAGGCCATATTTCGAATTGCGATATCTCAAAAACTATTGCAGCTACGATGCTCAAATTTTGAACTTAAACTATTCCCACACAATGTTAAATGCCTGCGAAATATAAAGAAATTTGGAGAGGGTGGGTGTCATGCCTGTGTTGAAATGGCATGGAATTACTCACGGGTAACCAACACTTTGTCCTGGAAGTCCCAGGTAGCTGCACAAACCTCAGCAGCCAACAAATCTCTTGGCCGTGTTCGCTGCTCTGTTAGTAACATTAATGACGTTAACGTTCGCCGTACTCTATACCTTGCCATTGTCCGTCCACATCTCGGGTATGCCACTCAGGTTTGGTCCCCACAATCAATTGACCTTATCAGACGTGTCGAAAGGGTCCAGAGTCGTGCTACTAAAGTCATCCTAAACCTACCTTTTAAAACTGATATAACCTATAAACAACATTATTTTGATCTCACTCCATCTGCTTCCAATCTCCTACTGGCATGAATTCCTTGATCTGGTATTTTTCTTAAAAATTGTTCACAATATTACCACCATGAACTCTGAAGTCAAGCCAACTCAACATATTCCCACAAGATCAACCCGAAATACTTCCGACCCTAGTCTACTCTACTTTCATCCTAAAAGATGTAAAACCGTAACTTTTCAACGATCATTCTTCTCACGCACGTGCAGAGTTTGGAACAACCTACCTGACGAAATGCGCCGCATGGATACATCTTCATTACGCTTTAGAAGCTTGCTAAAAGAACATTTGACAGCATCTCAAACAATTTTTGATTCGGATGATCCAAGGACATGTGCAATTTAGCACGCATACTTAGGATCTCCACGTCATGTTGTAGTTAGTGCATGTATTCTCTCACTTATCGGGACCATGCACAGTACAGTAATTGGCTTCACACGCTGTTGTGGGCACCCGGCCACGAAGTATTCATTCATTTACAGTACTGGACAATGCTGAAAAGTGTGTATCTTGAGACGCTAGCGAAGATTGTCCACAGATGCTATTACGGAACGTCATCAGTACAGCTTCAAGAACTTTTTCTCAAATTGTTCAAGCTCATATAACCTAAGGAAAATAAATTAGCTGTTCTTTAAAAAAACCAGAACAGAGATAATAAAAAGCCAATTACGTATAAAGGCTCTATTCTATATGTTGAACAATTTATAACAGTAACGAAACTAGGGAACTTGAACCTTTTACTGTATTTCATTTAAGAATTCTTTAAAGAACGAATTACTTAGAGAGCAACTGTATTGACTGATTCTTACGTACAAAAATGTGCGTATAATTATTGCATGTATACAACATTAATTTAATATAAGTGATTGTATAATTAGGATAACTTAAAGTATAGTCAACTGTAATAAAATAAATTTTAATTTAGTTTATTGTGAAATTTTGACTACGGTGCTAATTTTTCACTACCCCATCAGCTATTGCTGTTATCACCAAATCGTGAATAAATAAACAACAACAACAACAACAACAACAACAACAACAACAACAACAACAACAACAACAACAACAACAACAACAGCAACAGCAACAACAACAACAACAACAACAACAACAACAACTATAGTGACTATACAATCCAGCATGACATATAACTACCTTATAAGGTAGTTATAAGGACTATGTCCTAGGCTGTGAGAAGTGTTTTATCTATAATATAGTGAACAGGAAAACACTAACAGTTGTTTCTATTTACATCACTTTCATTTTACTTTCAGTTCATTTTTCATGTCTGGAGCTGCCCAAAAAGATCGAGCAAGTTGTCCGTTCATATCCATGGCAATGCAATGACTGCAAATCTTGTGAAGTCTGTAAAAGTGATAAATTTGAGGTATAAAAATATGTCGAAATAAAATAAGAAATAAGTTCCATCTTGAAACTCGACAAGTAGAGACAAGATTCAATTATAGTGATATTTCGAATTTATTAAGTCAATCTCATGAGAAATTTGTATAGTATTAAAATTCGAAATATTATTGTCGAATCTTATCTCTTCTTGACGTGTTTCTCAGATATTGAGTTTCAAGATGGACCATCTATTCGAAAATTATTTCTTACCTTTATCAGGGAATATATACTGTCAATCCCATCTAAGACATTATTTGCTGCTTTCTGAAAGACGTGTTAGATATCGTGAAACAGTTCCTATAATCCCAACTCTAACGTAACGACTGATCCTATTGATAAACAGCATGCAAGACGTGCACCAATTTTCCGCCGCATCAAGTTGACCAATTTTCTTTCTCTTTTAAAAATGTGAGTCAGACTGAAAGTTCATCAAATTCACTATGTGGTTGGTGAAGACAAACTTTATTATTAACTAGGAGTTACTATCGCAAGGAAAGTGGTACATTTTTGCCACATGAACTGAATGAAAAAGTTTATACTTCTAGACAATTCTCTAAAGGGAAGTCTATTTTTGACCCAATGGCCTCATTTCCACGTTTCATCTGTATTCAAATATCATTGGTAGCATTGCCATGCTGCGCATGAAGGTTATATCCCCTATGTTTCCTGCACAATTTTGTTCTTAACTATTTATTTGTTAATATCCAAACGTTTCGCCGGTTAAGGCTTCTTCAGTGGATTGTTAGTAGCAATATTAAGATCCTATTATATATATATACAAGCATATCTAATTAAAAATTCTAACTTAGTTCTATTGTAACAAAAGTAATCAACCTGCTAATCATGCACCAGTGCGTAGCTCCTATTTGAATCAAGTTCTAATTAAAAGTGATATTATTACGTACAAAATGATCGAAGAAGGTAAGAAATATGGCAGTAACATTCTTAAACATAAGAAATTGCATTATACTACACCCCCCAAGAATATAATCATTACACCCACTGATAAAACGAAACGACTAATCGCTGTGGATTCTAAAATCTATAACGACATGTTGGTAAAATCCACTATCGAGACTGGCAACTACAAGGAACTTAAAAGATTAAACAAACCCAGGACTGAACAAATTAACTTTAATCGTCGCCTTAACGATGTGGCTAACAAATATCAATTCAATAACCCTAAGTTATGTAAGGATCTCAAATCTACCATCTGTAGTGAACCACTTCCTTGTTCGGCCTACTGTCTACCTAAGGACCACAAATGCATGCTGTGTGTTAGATGTTATTATATAATAACGATCACATTAACTGTCGATGTTCTGCCTTCATTGATTTAGAGAAAGCTTCTATGCTGCGACGAGTGTGACCGAAGTTATCATACATTTTGTGTGAAACCTAAATTGGATAGACTTCCGAAAGGTACTGTACTGTACACTCAACCAGTGTATATAATAGGGGCGCTTTCAGACAAGATATTTTCATTAACAGAATTTTATTAACAGGGGAATGGATATGTCCGAAATGCAAGATTAACGTCAGTAATAAAGAACTTTCCAGTAAATCACCAAATAAATCACCGTTTCGCTCAAGTCCAAGTAGACCACTCACCCTTAAAGGACCTTTCGTAAAATCTCCAGCAAAAACGAAACAGTCTGGTAGTTCTCCCAGTGCACAGAGTAAGAAAACTGCACTCCCTGGAAAAAGACAGATATTTGGGAGTTCAGACCAAAGCGTTGATGACAGTGATGATTTTATTGACATTTGGGAATTTAAAGATGAAACCTCCGAGGAAGAACGAAAACCGAAAAGAAACCGCTCAGAAGAATGTTGCACTTCGCCTAAAAAGAAATCAGTTAAGCTAGATGAGAGCAAAATTCAGGGAGAGAAAACGAAAACTACACCAACAGCAGGAATTGGTACAGGTAAAGTATCCTATGGTATAATTTTATGTAAATCTTCTCGTATGCTGTACGTATTCTGACATTGAACGAGAAGTCAAACTCACAACACCTGGCCCTATGTAGCTGCAACCTCGTTCCCAGGACGAGCCTGGGAACGAGGTTGATGTAGCTGGTGCTTTTAAGGCGTTGGGGAGTTTCTTTCATTTCGTTACCTGCACCTTAATTCCCCAACCTCAGTATTCTAAATATTAAATAAATATGCTATTTCTCGGATCACTGCGAGAAAGGCCTGAATTTAGCAAATTTGAGGCTCAATTCATAGCACATGTCAGTGACATGTGTTTTATTCTTGAGTTCCGGGATTCCATCACATCTGGTGCTCAGCAAGTTGTTCTAACTTGTATTCAGTTACGACCTGTACTATCGAAACAAAATCCACTTTCCTCCAAAAGTATAAACGCAACAACGAGGTTTTATTTCCCTTAGGTGAAAAGAAGTCAAGACAAAAGTATAAATTTCGTAAAGCGTGTCCAACGCCAGGCTGTGATGGTTCAGGTCATGCATCTGGTGTGCTATCTTCTCACCACGCTCCGTCTGGTTGTCCGTTGCTCCATCGGAATAAACATAAACGGCAGGTTTGATATCTAAATCTAGATTATTGTCATGCACCATCAAATTATTAATCTTCAAGTTTTGTGTGTGTTCGTCTATAATTGCCACTATGATTTATATATATATATATATATATATATATATATATATATATATATATATATATATATATATATATATATATATATATATATATATATATATATATATATATATATGCAGATTGTACTGTGGTACAACACGGTGACTCAACGCATCCAGACATGCGCAGAGCGTAATGGGGCCATCACTCAGCTAATGGAACAGCCCGATATGAAACAGCCCGATATGAAACAGCCCGATATGAAAATACGCTGAGTTGTCAGTACTGCTACTGTTATTACTGTCGCTGCAGCTGAGTTGTTAGTACTGCTAATGTTATTACTGTCGCTGCAGCTGAGTTGTTAGTACTGCTAATGTTATTACTGTCGCTGCAGCTGAGTTGTTAGTACTGCTAATGTTATTACTGTCGCTGCAGCTGAGTTGTTAGTACTGCTAATGTTATTACTGTCGCTGCAGCTGAGTTGTTAGTACTGCTAATGTTATTACTGTCGCTGCAGCTGAGTTGTTAGTACTGCTAATGTTATTACTGTCGCTGCAGCTGAGTTGTTAGTACTGCTAATGTTATTACTGTCGCTGCAGCTGAGTTGTTAGTACTGCTAATGTTATTACTGTCGCTGCAGCTGAGTTGTTAGTGCTGCTACTGTTATTACTGTCGCTGCAGCTGAGTTGTTAGTACTGCTAATGTTATTACTGTCGCTGCAGCTGAGTTGTTAGTACTGCTAATGTTATTACTGTCGCTGCAGCTGAGTTGTTAGTACTGCTAATGTTATTACTGTCGCTGCAGCTGAGTTGTTAGTGCTGCTACTGTTATTACTGTCGCTGCAGCTGAGTTGTTAGTACTGCTACTGTAGTTATTACTGTCGCTGCAGCTGAGTTGTTAGTACTGCTAATGTTATTACTGTCGCTGCAGCTGAGTTGTTAGTGCTGCTACTGTTATTACTGTCGCTGCAGCTGAGTTGTTAGTGCTGCTAATGTTATTACTGTCGCTGCAGCTGAGTTGTTAGTACTGCTAATGTTATTACTGTCGCTGCAGCTAAGTTGTTAGTACTGCTAATGTTATTACTGTCGCTGCAGCTAAGTTGTTAGTATTGCTATAATGTTATTACTGTTGCTGCAGCTGAGTTGTTAGTGCTGCTAATGTTATCACTGTCGCTGCAGCTGAGTTGTTAGTGCTGCTAATGTTATCACTGTCGCTGCAGCTGAGTTGTTACTCAATGGATGACCACAATATTGACAACTGCTTGTGCACTAAACTATACAAGTCACTGGACCCTAATCGTGAAAATTAACACATACTGTCCATGTTGTAAAAAATCCTAATTGTCCTTAGATACATAGAGTCGCTTATAAGTTTAAGTTTGAATTTGGGTTATTTGTGGACACGATTAAACAGAAATAGATGGGCCATTTGCTCATTCCTTTTGGGGGCAGTGCAACTATTGCAAAATGCATGCAGTCCATTATATGTGCATGACACTTGACTGTTTTCCTGGAACCATAACCCTATCTCAAAAATTAATGGACAGAATTTCATGAAAATTTTTGCAAGGTTATATTGGGTTTTGCAATCCAAAGCTACAATCAAGGCCAAGATTCATGTAGACACTAGACACTCAATCCACTTTTGGATTTTTGAAAAAAATCTAACAAAATCCTAAAACTGGACTTTTTAGTCTTTACACTCGTGTACCCACTCCCCCTCTTTTATTATAGACTTAGTCAGTGTTATACAATTACTTTATGGTTTCTGTGTTTGGATGGCCTGATCCAAACACGCGGCAATGTTGCGAGAGTTAAGAAAAGCGCGCGATATCACGAGCCGAAGGCGAGTGATTTTGCGCGCTTTTCTTAACTCGAGCAACATTCCCAAGTGTTTGGATTAGGCCATCCAAACACGGAAACCATAAAGTAATTGTTTTATAAAATAACAACAACTCGATAGTCTTCCGTGTTTGGATGGCCTGATCCAAACACGGGTTTCGACCAATCAGAGCACGCGTTATATACATGTTATTTTATAATTAATTTTATAAATAATATTAGTTTATTTATTAACTACCCACTGTCGATCCTACTAATTACTGCCCGGTACAAAAATACTTACCCGTTGTGTTGCTATTATATATATTTAAATGAATACTAAGATCTACTAAGTATGAGACAGTATAAACGTGAATAATAAACATTTGAACATGCACAAGAGCCACGGGAGAAATCACTTATAATTTCGCCAAAAGCATCCCAGTGCGGAATTTTTAGAAACAGTAATAATTGCACACTTGAACTGTGCGTATTTTTGGGCTTCTTATTGTCTTGCTTGCTTAGATTCATCACAGAAACAGCACAAAGCATTCCAATATTCTATATTGAAATGTTATGCATCAATATACCCGTATATAAATATTACATATATACAGTTTATTCTATGACTATGACTGTCTATGTACATAAATACTGAAGCTGTTTCCCATGATTTTGTCCTCTGCTCTAGTTCTCCGAAAGTTTCTGACTTACCGTTACGTGAGAGTAGATACTCTTAAACCGTCAATAATTCCAAACAGGTTCGTGTCCACGAACAAAACGTAATCAAAATGATATTTCGTCTCTATTCTTTCTTACTGACATCGTGTGTCCATATGTAGTTTGTTTACTGTGCTATTAATTTACGTTTGCAACAGCTGTAGTTAGTGAAGTTGCAACGTTTCGACGTCGCACAGTGTCAGTTCTAATGTATTACAAATAATGTTCAGTTGTCAAAGCGAATCAAGGCGACAGTCGTTAAGCCAAAAGCTTGCATGGGCTTTGTGACATACTGTGTAGGAAAGTTGCAGTGTATTTTCATTGAAGTACTTTCCCGCAAAACATTCGACAATATGTTATGGTTCTTAATTATAATACTTGACAACTTTATTTTGATTATTTAATTCAAATAAAGATTAATTTGTTCTTTTACCGAAAGTGACCGGTCAAAATGACTGACAAGGCAAGAATTTGACCTGACAACTCCGCATTCTGGCCGGACATTGTCCGTTGACTGGCCGTGATTTCGTGCTCTGTTTGGCCCGGATTGTATACATGACGTAGAATATACAACCATCTGGTGGTAGACATGAACATAAGTATCACATGCAGTGCTCTTTATATAATTTATCGTGTTATAAATGAGATTAATTTAGATAAAAATAAAGTCTTTTAATTTTTACTTTTAGTCCACTGAGAAAAAAGAACGGCCAAGAAAAAAATTGATAAGATGTTCCGAATCACCTAGAAGACGAAGTCAGAGAAAACCGGTAAAAAATCCGTATAATATATGGGCATCACTTTTCGCGTACATAAGTGAGTGGCATGCTGCAAGAAGAAATTGAGTGCTGGCTATGTAGAGGTGAAACGCATTCGCACTTATTTGGACTTGATATACAAGTCGACTTGCATATTGAGATGTTTATACAGTATGTGTATTTAGACTGTCTGTCGAGCGAATAGAAAACGAGTGAAGAATAAAAAATTATTGAGTGGCTCTTGAGCGAGTAAAATTTCCCTCTCGCCGCTTTAAGGAAATTGATCTTAACCGCGCAACCAGTGGCGGACACCTTGCGAAATATGGGGGTGGGGGGATGGTTAGGTTGCCAACATGTGAAATTGTGACCACCTTTTGTAGCTTATTTATAATTTATAGCCTGTATACCACTGTCTGCCACTTCGCGCAGCTAATATAAACATAATAATTCTGAAGATTGAATGCGACGTAATAATATTATAATCAATGCAAGTGTTTATGACTTTAACAAACCAGTAATTACCTGTGGTCAGTGTTTTGGAGCTACGTACTCCCCCTCCCCTAAAACTAAAAAAAAATGGTTGCGCACCTTATATCACCATTAGTCATTTTACCTCGCTTCAATATGGTGAATCCATAATCATGCAGTGTACTATATAAAATGCAATTGAGAAACTGGTGCATTCTAGTTTCTTAATTTGACCTTATCAATAGTTTCTAAGATATCTTTCCTTTTGTAATAGATTCCCGTTTCTAATGAATTTTATCTTACCCATATTCTGAAAGTGAATATCCCGTCCCTACCAAAACAGTATGCCCAAAGCTTCGCTAAGGGCAAACAAGAAACCAAAACTCCTGCTGAGAGTTCAAATGCAAGAGCTCGTGAAACAACGACTCCAGTGACCAAGACTCCTATCTCAGCAGCTTGTCATAATAAATCAGTGTTTAGTAAAGAAGAAGAAGACAAGTTGAGAAAACTCGTGACAGAGTACGACTTTAGTATGTTCATGAAGGCCAGAGAGAAAGCTGCGAAGATGGTGGTAAGAGAGACGTTGTATTAAAAGAATACTGTTTTAGTTACCTTTATTTTGCCAGAATGACGGGTCAACACTACATAGCCTATATTTCTCCATTTCATGACCCTTTTGTCCTTGAATATAAATGTAATATGAATATACATTATTCACAACACATCCTATCAAAGACTGGTCTGCATACTACACGGGCGAAATTTAACACATTAAACGTTTCTGGGACATCATTGTCGAATATTTGTTTTCATACGTTGGTCAATGGTGACGTACGTTACCTTTGCGGATTTGTGGTGCTTGTTGGCTAAAAATTCTATACTTCTGTTTTGAACATTCAAAGTTGACTTTAAGCAGTCATTTATTTTGATTTGGAAGATCTAAAAAAAATAGTCTTTAGTCAGCCGTACTCCCTTAGATCAACCAAACAACTATATCATGGAAATACATTATTCATAGCGCTCCAAAACAATCTTCATTTCATGCAGGTCAATAGAATTTTTACCCTAGGCAGACAGAGTATAGTTTTGGATGCAAAATGATTAGTGGTTGTCCAGATAAAAATACTGCGTGCATGACTCCTGTTGTGCATGACGTGACATGCATATCCACAAAAATGGAAGATGGCGGACATTTCATTCCTTTCGATCAAAATATTTGTAGAAGTAAGCAAGACATGAAAAACGGTAAAAGAATATTATATATAGTCTTAAAAGTTCTTTTAAATGAGAAAATAAAAAAATATGTTGCCATTTCCCTTTAAAGTATGTTGTGAAAAAATGTTTATTTATAAATTGACTTTTTAATGGGGAAACGAGCCCTGCAGATCTGAGCAGTTACTTTTGCAAGAAATAGTAAGCTTGATCAGGAAAAACCTTTTTGCATGTGTGGTTTCCTTATACTGATTTTCAACTTGTTGATACTGGTTTGAAACTGAAAGCTACATGCAGTATATACAGTACACTTATGCATTGCTAATTACTATTTAACAATTATTCGCCTCAGGCTCGGTGATTATCGGAGAATATTCGCCGAGACGAAGTCGAGGTGAATATTCCCCGATAATCATCGAGCCTGAGGCGAATAATTGTTTTAGTATTTTTACACAAGCTTTTGTGTTTTTTGAGACTGAACTTATTTTAATTTCGCTTATTTCTTTGTCAGTAAACTTCCACAAAACGGGTAGACGCCATTTTGAAAATTTCTGTATAACACCTGTAGGTGAATATAACAGCTTACTGTATTACGTCAAATTTGACCAATCAACGTGTAGGATTTGTTATGTTCACTTGTGCAAAAATACGAAAAAGCTATATGATAATTGCTGTCATCTGCAAAACATTTTGGATAAAAGAAAATGGGTATACATCCCACAAGGAATTTTACACTTCCTGTTCATTCTAACACCTATAAATATCGTTCTCCCACTATATATAATTAAGTATTTGTATGAACAAACTACAAAGTTGTGATCAAGAGAATATCATGATTGTCGTTTCTTTGTTAGGGTACAATTGAGCCAACTAGCACCAGTTGCAACATCCGTAGGATTGAATTTGGCATGAACGATATTGATGCCTGGTATTCATCTCCTTATCCGCAAGAATATTTCCATCTTCCCAAAGTTTATGTCTGCGAATTCTGTCTTAAGTACATGAAGAGTTTGACCATCTCAAGAAGGCATAAGGTGAGTGCATGGCATTTGAATTTTTAACCATCTTCCTGTTTGCATCGGACCCTGGAAGCGTCACTATATGTTAACTTACTTTGTCTACAGCGGTATTTTAAAATGTATAAGACACCCGCCAGTAAGGAAAGTATTGCATCCTGTGAAAGTACTGTAATCACAGAATTCCTTAAAAAATTCTGGGATTTTACTTTAGCAAACATTTTTAGCCGAAATTTACTAAAGGACAAATTACTGTTAAAAGAACAATTGTATAATAGGAGCCTACAGAAACTACAGAAATGCCTCGCGGCAACACGCCTGCTATGCAGGCTGCAGAAGACCCAAACGGATTATTTCAAGCACGAACGGGAAATCTGCATGATTGTACGGCTGTATAGTATATATAGAGTGTATAAAAATAATTAAATTTCCACTAAACTGTAAATTTTGCAACGTTTGTGAAGTATATCTGAATATGGGTAGTTAAGATCCTCACTAAAAATGGCTTGCGCTCAAAAATGGAGGGGTAAAACGCGATTTCAATTCATAGGGGTAAGATTAAAGTTTTCTTTATGAACTATCAAAGTACAAAACAATTTGAAGTACATTAAGTCCCTCCCCCGCATTGTTCCGTTCACCAAAACGTGGACTTAAATTTCGTGAGTAAAATTTCATGAATATTGATTTCATATATTTGATTCTTTACCATTTCATGCATGATTAATACAAAGAGAAAATGTATTTCCACCTCTTATGGGCACTTATAAAAGTTATGGAGCACTTTAGATCTTTTTATACGTTTTACTCGTGCTCTTAACGGGGTTCCTTCGACCCCTGGAAATCCTGGATTTTTATTTCAGTCCTGCAAACTCCTTGCAAAGTCCTGGAATTTCAAAGTGAACCCTGAAAAAATGTGTGTGTATAAGATATATGTACTTAAAGTATAACAGGTTCTGTTTCAATATGATTGATTACAAAACGTTCTTATGCATAGCATATAGAATCGATAGTGATATTATTTGATAGGTGATCAAGGTGGCCTGGGACGAATTCCATTACTTGGTCTCAGGTTACATCTTGAGCTGACCATCCCCTATAAAGGGCCAACACCTTCACACCAATTGTAGCCTGCGAACAGGCTCTCAAGACCAATTGAAATAATTGGTGGAAATTTTACACAAAACTCGAAAACAAGTGCTCTTCAACATTTGCTCCGCGCATGATAACTGATGCCAAACACTCTATCACTCTCAAATTACATACCCCCTCGGTCACGTGGCGTGCAGACGTATTGAAACATGGTTACCTAGCTGTTAACCTTGGTTATTGCATAACCTCAAAAGTTGTCGAATTACTTTTCTCAATTTCAAATACCCTGAAACACGAGATGAAAAAAGTCCTTGAAAGTCTTGATACAAACCCTGGCTTATTGTATCCTGTGATGTTTGTGAAAAGATAGTTTTCTACTTCTTAATTTTTTTATGATTACAGGCGAAGTGTAAATGGCGCTATCCACCTGGTGATGAAATATATCGCAAGGGGAATATTTCGTTCTTTGAAGTCGATGGCAAAAAGGAAAAGGTATTTACTTGAGTAAATCATTAACTGGTTAGCACCACTCTCTTTGATGACTGGACATTCCCTCCTTTCCGTTGTCTTTTGAAAAGATGGAAATATGGGAAATTGTAAAGATTGCTTTTTAATCATCACGACTGAATAAGTGCACCAATCGAGTCTCGTACATTTAAGATTCGTTTTCATCGTTAAACGATTTTTTGTAGAAAGAGTTTCGCGAAATTGAAAACTCATTTTCAAAATTACGCGACCAACCAATAATATTTTGAGTTGAAAAGTGAGTTTTACGCCATTTTCTTCCTTCCCCTTTCTTGTCTTTCCACTTTCATCCTCTCACGTGTTTTGAAACCTTGATCCAATCGGGGTTTAAAGCCTCAAATGCATGCTGAACCAACTGAGCTAACCGACAATCAATGCTTGTATTACTGTTGTCTATTATATATTATGGTCGTCTTTAATTTTTATGATATACTCTAGTATTGTCTATCTTCTTCTAGACCTATTGCCAAAATCTTTGCCTGCTAGCCAAGCTCTTTTTGGATCATAAAACCCTTTATTACGATGTGGAACCGTTCCTGTTCTACATTTTGACACAACGTGATAACACTGGATGCCATTTAGTTGGATATTTTTCTAAGGTAAGATTTGAGTCTTATTTTAAAAAATATCACTCGTGTCAATTGTCATGTTATATATAAAACATAATTGTTTTTTTTTCATTTCCAGGAGAAGAAATCTCGTCTGAGCTACAATGTTTCCTGTATTTTGTGTCTGCCACCCTACATGCGCCGTGGTTTCGGAAAAATGCTTGTCTCGTTCAGTAAGGGCCATCATTTATGTGTAATTAAATTGTCATTAAAGTGCTTATATATGCATTCGCATTCCTTCAGTGGGGTACTAAGAACTAGATGCCTGTGGTCAGGCTCCCTCAGTGAATATAATTCACAAAACAGTCGTTCAAATTTATGAATGTAAACATAATGCGAATATAAACATTTACTATCTTTTTCTTTACAAAATTTACATTTATAAATGGAGGACTCACCTTGATCCAAACAACAAGAATACCTAACTGTGTATACTATTTCCTATATTTGTTTTAATTTTAGGTTACTTATTATCGCGCAGTGAGGGTAAAACAGGCTCTCCCGAGAGACCTTTGTCAGATCTAGGCCTGATAAGTTACAGGAGTTATTGGACTGAGATAGTGCTTGGATTCTTGAACGACAGCGAAGATAACGCTATATCTATCAAAGGTATAGATATTTCGATTCTTATTGTTTGTCATAGTACTCCATGTATATACTGTTGAGAAGCATGTGAATAATTTATATTTTATGTTTAATTGGATAGCTGGAAGTAAGACATTGACATTGAACCTTAATTAGGGGTGGGGACAATTTTAGGGCGTTGTTGTGTTTTAGTATAGTTTTTGTATTTTTTGTGATATCGTAAATTTAAGTTAGTATTGTTATTTTTCGCATACATATCGAACGTTTATAGTCTCGTGAACACATAATATACCCCCTGTGGTTCTCCAGCACACTACACATATAGAGATGAAAAAAATGTTCACGTTAGCAGAAATAACAATACAGAAAATTAGGAAAATAAAGTAGCATGCAAAGGATAAAGAAATCAGCCATTTTTTCTATGGATACTCCAAGAAAAACATGATTCGTCAGATAATGTACGTATTCGAAATTATGTTTCGTCAGATAATGTACGTATTCGTAATTATGTTTTTGGAATATCGGTTTTTTAATAAAAAAACTGTTTGATTGTTTCCAAGCCAACAAAAGTGCATGCATATTATTCTGCATGTGACTAAGTAAATAAAAACTTGAGTAAAATAATGCACCCACAGTGACTCAAAATAGTGAGTAATAGCAAATTTACTTATTTTTTAGTAAAGTAAATCTTTACTCAAAAAAATTGAGCAAATTTGAAACTTTACTTGACATGTTTTTCAGCCAAAATACTTAGGGATATTTTGCAGTACTGAAAATGCATGTATGCATAAATTTGGTCTGCTGCAAAAAATTTTGTGATCCACATGTTAACATACTGTTGGTTATACGTGCATGGTCACCACGCTTGCCTTTCAAGCTTGCAGATCCGGCCTCTACTCAGGTCTTAAAATAATTGAGGGGAAAGTTATACCTTTACATTGACATCAGTAAATACATGGTTAGTCTTTTCGGATAAGGAGGTTAATATCGTAGGTATATACCCGGACCCTCTGTCAATTGGGCAATAACCTGTTAGGAAATACGCTGACCAATGATTGCATGAGAAACCCAATAAACTTTCTACGGTGAGTACTATATACTAAAACTATAAACCGTGCATGCTTTTACTTTTCTCTTTCTAGACATCAGTGTAGTGACAGGAATTAACACAGCCGATCTTATCAGTACTTTGCAATATCTGGGAATGCTTAAGTATTGGAAAGGGAGTCATATTATTTTGAAACGTGAGGTATGTCATTACGCAACCATATACACTGTATGTTTCTTTTTTGAAGAAAAAGCATTTCAAAATACAGTTTTATTACTGAAATAGTCTTTCCCCTTTCTATTTCATACAAACTTAATTGGTAAGTACGAGATACAGTATATATTAACTAGTTGCCCCATAATTAATTAATCATAAACTATCCATGCATGCAGTATGAGCTTAATATTTACATGGAGATAGGGTGACCCGAGTTGAAGGGCTACGTTGCATTTACAGTTCATTGAGCTATGTTTTTACATGACTCTAAAAATAACTCACGATTAACCTGGCGAATGTTTTAAGAAATATCACCAAAATAAAAGGAATTATGATCAATCGCATAAATAACCGGAGCATTTCATGAAAATCTAGCATGCTTAGTGGTCACAAGCTGTAATACCCTGCACTGACAAAATAGCCCTGTTAGTAGGGTGACCATACCTCATGTAAACACCTGACTCTTCTTACCTTCTTGGTAGCCTAACCCTGGAACTAGGGTAAATATGTTCTGAAAAGGTTAGAAAATTTTTCATATCACCTCTTATTCGTTTGGAGTGCAGTTTCTTGCAATGTGGTTGCAACTTAGTTAGGACATATTAACGCTTACTATAACACAACAGCTTGATCGAAACTTGAGTGCTTCCTCACTATCGTGACTGATCATCATGATCTTCATTTCCTAGGACTTACTTAAAGAATATCAGGAGAAAATAAGGAATCGTCCACCAGATTATGTGGTAGTTGACCCCAATTGCCTAAAATGGACACCACCAGATATGAGGGATGAAAAATCGTGAAAAAAGAGAAGTCGAAATTGTTTGCTTCCAGACAGGTTCTGCATTTTGATTATGCATGCAGTGATAACAGACAAACATCGAATTTGACTGTTGAGTTTAAGTTTTTGTATATACAATTATTCCAAATTCGACAGAATGATAGCATGTTTTTTTCATGTAGTTTAGTGTTTAAATAATTTTTCCAACTCCCGAGTGATGTTGTTTTATTGTTGAACTACGTTTTTGTTCTGATGCAATAACTTGTATTTGGTAAATTGTTTCACTAAAGTAGTAAGGTACAGTATGCTATCTATTTTCAAGGATCAGTATACGCTCAAATTTTCCAGGCCAACAAAACGCATCTCTACAATGCTGGGGTATACTGCGTACGATATGACTAGTTAAAATTCGGTGTTTTAGACTTCGTGCTTCGATTCTTGAGTGTTGTAAATAGGAGGGGAATATTTCCTTTAATTGTATATGTAATTAGCCGTAGTATATAAATTTGCATGCATAATTAATAAAGTGATTGCCTTCTTGTGCAGTTCTCTCTGGGCTGCATAATATCAAAGTGAATCCGTTTGAATCTTGCGTCATATAAACGCGTAGACATTACAAAAGAAATAAATGTTAATTTTCTTCATGCATTTCAATCATTTATATATTTGCTCCACTAACTGAAGAAACCGACGCGGCTATTAGTATGGGTAATCATGCGATGGCGAGTACAATTAGGGGGTTAATAGTACGAGTGATGTTAATTTCCAAACATCACGAGTACTATTAATCCCTAATTATACGAGCAACATCGCATAATTACTTGTTTATTATTAGCATGACAAAATTGGATAATTCTCAATGTCAACATCATATTCTCTCGCCAAAGCCCAGTCCTGCTAGACTTTCAACCAAAATTTGGTGCTTTTGTTCGTATTTTCATTTAGTTATTTTGCTTTAAGTTCCTCTAGGACAATTTCAATAGCTTTCTGTCATTTTGTTTGTTTGGGGAAAATCATTAATTGTACTGGAGTACAATTAATTAAATTATTGTACTCCTCTCAGCCAATCAGCATCCAGTAATTTTGTCATGCTAATAATACATATCCTTAACTAGAGGGCACTCAGAGACTGCAAATATCTCCGCCAGCAATTTAAGTCGTGTATCATGCATGAATTAAACACTGGGCTAGTATAACTATAGTATCATTTTGGCAATTGGAGAATAGAAATTGCATGCTAGAATTTATTTAACCTGTCAAAAAGAAAGTACATTTCGTCAGGCCATATCTTTTTCTATTACTTTCCCTCTTTGAGAACAATCGTTGTTCACCTAACAGCTGTCCAGTAGCGAAGCTGCGCATATAGCAACATGTAATGCTATGCAAATTTTTAATGATTTGCATTATTGAAACCTTTATAAATGTTTTTACTTTAACCTATCATATAAAATGCTGGTTTATCAACATAACATGATCATGTTTCGCTCGCTACTCTGGTTTAAATAAATGATTACAAAGCCGACTGGGCTTTGTAATCATTTATTTAAACCAGACCTGACTGGGCTTTGCCGACTGGGCTTTGTTAATCATTTATTTAAACCACAAAACCAAAGCCGAACTGGGCTTTGTAATCATTTATTTAAACCACAAAGCTTGATTACAATTCGACTGGACTTTGTAATCATTTATTTAAACCAGAGTAGCGAGCGAAACATGATTGATATACCTGGTTGCAGTGAACGAACAAACTTTATATAACATGATCAGTTGCCATGGTTATCTACGTCACTGTAGCTGTCAGATATTTATATGCATTCAATGAGCATCTAATTCTTAACATGATTCATGATTCCAATGTTCCTTTATGAAGATGGATTTAAGAGTTTACATCCAGTTAATATTCTTGTGCGTTGTGAACATAATCTTTACTTTCTCTGGAATAGTTTTAAGCACATTGGTGATAGTCAGTCTTTTGAAATGCTCACAACTCCGAAAGAAATTATGCAATTTCATGATCATGGTGTTGTCGTATTTCGATTTTGTTTCGTTAGACACTCACGACGTAACAATTGCATAATTAATTTACGTACATTTTAATATATTAGTTCTGTTAGTTTAAATTAGTTTTGTGACAATGACATATCTTGTCAGTTTTGACATTTACATAAATTGCATGTTCATGATTATTGTTAATTGAGATAAGGAACTGCGGTCGAAAGGACCTACTGAAAACGTGAAAAGGCTAACCTGTTGTAATATTGTATTCTGTTTATTCTGCTAACCTGTGTTTTGAACTGTTTGAATGTAGTCCTAGTGACCCGCCAAAGAAGTAAGTGACATTTATAGAACTCAATGATTTGCTATATGAATTTGTGGTATGTATAAAAGTACACTTATATTATTACTCTTTACTTATAATTATTTTGTATATAACTTTAATAGATCGAATACAGGCTTTCTTGCCATCCTACTTTTCCTACTTTTTCCTACTTTTCTTCAACTTTCCTACTTTTCCTATTTTTTATTAAAAATTGCTTGATTTTCCTACTTTTTCCTACTTTTTCTCATAAAATCCTACTTTTTTTAAGACAGCTTGGGGAATCAGTATGTTATAGCTCTCGTAATTACATCTATAGTGCCCGTAATTTTTATTCCCTATTTGTGTCCCAGATGATAAGATCTCAGGAGGAGAAGAAGTGTATTTTCCGAGTATAAAATTTCATAGCATCTCTAGAATCATAATCAATAAATGAATGAAGACTCCGAAAGTGCCATTTCCGACGATCTAGAGATTCCAAATATTCAACTCCCTCCTCAGTTAATCAAGCATCATATATACAGGGCCATAGCAACCGGGGGGGGGGGGTTTGGGGCTGCAGCCCCCCAATAATTTGCTAATAATCATTTTTTTCAAAATCCTGATGCAGACCTTTATTATTTAATCCATGACAAACTGCAAAGAATGAAGATATTACCCATACTTTCCTGGAACTTATCCAATATATAGTTAATTAAATACGCCTTTGCCCATTTAGTACTACTAAATTATAAATTTTGACATACTAAAACGCTGTTTTTTGAGCATTAGAATTCTGTCAAATCTTCCCCAAAGTCCAGGAAATGGCATTTCAGAGATTCTAAATCTAAAAATTTCCTCGGGCCTTCGGCCCTCACTTTCAGCCCCCCCTCCCACAATCGAAAAGAGCTTCTTACGGCCCTGATATGTGCTACTGCCGCAGTGTGGATTGGTGCATTGTGTAGCCCAATACATGCATTTGAATTGTGTTGCTGCGGGGCAGATGCCTTAGCTTTTATACTGATACAATTTAAAAGTTTTGAGAAAAAAATGCTGCATAGGTGAATGAGTACATAAAAATATTGAGCACAAAAAATTTACACAATTGTGTTATTTGCATCTCCAAAACTCCTACTTTTGTCCTACCTTTGTCCTACTTTTCTACACATTTTCCTACTTTATTCCTACTTTTTCTAAAATTCTAGTCCTACTTTTGTCCTACTTTTCTAGACAAGGATGCCAGAAAGCCTGCGAATAGTATTCCGTACAAGTATCAATATCAGTGACAGTTTGTATAATAAATATTCAAAACTATACGATTACGGGTCAGACTACATTTGGCTAAAGGAGTGTACGACTCTGACGGACCAGATTTGCTAACGGTCATAACGAATCATCCACTATTGGTGGTGCAAGCTGTCTTATGGATAAATGAAAAGCATGATTTATTAACCAAGATAAAGATTTACGTTCATTTTGCTAACATGTTTGCTGGCTTTTCTACAGTTGCACTTATGGTGATGAACATTGAGCGATATTTGGGAGTGTATTACCCTATTTTTCATCGGACATCCGTAACCAGACGCAGACTGCTAACACTCCTCGCAATATTACTCATTACACCTACTACATTAATAATAATTTCCACAAACGACTTGGTAATTTCTATGCCAGTGGCTACATTGATCTTCGTGGCCATTACATTTCCACTATTCATGTTCATCAACTACAAATTGTTTAAAATTTCCAGAAAAACTCGTCGGATTAACGCAGTATCACCCGGAAAAAGAACGACAACAAATTTGAAAAACATTTCTTCTTGTTTGCTTGCAGTTGCCTGTATTGTGTTATTGTCCATTCCAACCAGCTTATACGTTTTATTTGGGTTTGCTGTGAAATCGACGACAAACAATGAAAGGTTATCTTTTCTTTGGGCATGTACTATACTCACCATGAATTCTACATTTAACAGTTTGATATTTTTCTGGATGAACAAAGTTTTACGCACAGAAGGAGTAAAGATACTAAAGTCGTTGAAAGATCATCTTTTCGGATCCTGAGAAAGCATTATATGTTGATCTACTGTTAAACACGTTTAAAATACTCATTAATAATTCACAAATCCGTGGCAAATCATGTCAGCCATAATATGTCACGTGGAGTGACTTTATATCTGTATCTATTCTTAATATCTAATCTTTATGTACTGTTTAGTTGTTCATCCTAATTAGTATTCCTATATAAAAAATATTTAAGCTATTCAAAGCACTAGTTGTCGTGTTTTATCAGATATAAAACGCGCGTTTTATATCTGATAAAGCGCTCGTTTTAAATGGTATAGATATTGCACAAATAATCTGGTATAGTTTATTCTTAAATGCGGATTAGGAAGTCAACGTCTGCATTGGTTGAACATTGGCTTTGCTATCTTTCGCATCTTCTACAAATGAGAACGAAGCAAAATATGAATCTCTCAGTTGAACAAGAAGTCTTTAAAAAGACGCGCTTAAAATTACATAACTCAAAATGACCAAGCAAAACGATCTTTTGTTAAATGTACAGACTGGTTCATAGGAATTAATCATTTCGAGTTATGCAATCGTGTGTCTTCATCCATCCGTGTCGTTAAACAATGATTAAATTTGTCGTGCAATAGGCTTGTTTCAAACGTCGCGCTTCTCATGTGCCGAACGCATTAAAAACAATAGATAATCAGCTGAAATTCTCGTCTATTGTTTCTAACGCGTTCGGCACATGAGAAGCGCGACGTTTGAAACAGGCCTAAAGGCCGCATTCCAGTTACGCGTTTTTCATACACGCACGTAAAAGTTGAATTCGCTTTACATCCTACTTATGAAATAACTAAATTTATAAAAGGACAGCATTCAGTTTTGTGTATATATGATTTAACATTTTAACGTGTATTTGTTAAGGTTATTTGCACTTATATGAAATTTTAAGCGAACTCAACTTTTACGTGCGTATACGCACGTATGAAAAACGCGTAACTGGAATGCAGCCTAAAGGCTGGCCTAAGGAAGATAAAACAGCAGTTTGTGAGAAAACTACGAGTCTACGGATTTGAACTCGGTGTGTTTGAAAGTGCATGTTAGTTCCCGTAAAAGTATTTCAGATCCAAGACATGCTAAATGAAAGTGAACGATATCGGGACGCAGCCAACGGCCTACAACATTCATAAAACAATTGTATTTCACGACAAAACTCTATACGTTGCACTTATCTAAAGCCACGTGACCACAAATCAGCCAATCACGTTTGGTGTTCACCCTATATATAGCTATTTTACAATGAACGTTGAAAAGTCCATTTCAGTATAGTAAAACCTTTCAGCAATACATTTAATACCGTTATTTATCTCGGGTTTTTCCAAATGCTGACGAAGTTGTAGTTGAGAATATACCCAGCCGCCACAGCTATCTTTGTATATCGCGATATCCAAACACACAAACAGACAGTTTTGAGCTATAGCAATGTGGTTCTACCCCGTGAGATTTTATCCGAGGTTTTATCGACTGATCTTGAACTTTCGGTAATGTTTCCTCTGCTGAACTGTCAAGCGTCCTCGACAATTGCAATGAAGAGATTACACTCTGTAGTCATATATACTGTTTTTATTTTTAAATTAAATGTAACAGATAAATGTAAAAAACTTTCCTTTATCATGAAAATCGTGTACACGACATTGTAGAGCCCGGGCTTGGCCTTTCAGTCACCATCTCTGTGTTGACTATCTCTCAGTTGCGATCATACTCTGCATGTTCATCCACGTGATGACATTATATCGCTTAAGGCGTGCAGGGTAATAATAGTACTTCCATGGAGATTATTACTCTTGCCCAGCAATGCAGGCAGCTCGGGCGATGAGACTTAAATTTTACAATACTATGTTAATGACGTTTGTTATTTTTAAATGTTGTAACTGCAAATGATTGGCAATTGCTCATCCGGATCTACTCTTATTTAAGGATCAAACAAGCTTCTTAATTTCATTGCATGCGCAATACTAGATTCCCTTATTACGTTTTCGAAGCGCTTTGCATTGTGGTTGTAGTGGTATCACTGATATTCATGAATCTAGTATTGGCTAATACTATGGTATTAACAAAAATAGCATGATATTCTATATTATAACCTTAAGAACTCTTTGACTTCGCATCTAAAAACTATAGGAAGAGAAAACTGTCGCCTCTCAGACAAATTAAACAATAAGAAATCTCTCATTGCCTTTAAATTAATATACAACTATTGCGACACCTTGTCGGTTTAAGTCAATGAATGGAATAATCCTGATTATTTATCTATTAATTAATACTTTAATTATACATAGTCTTTAGTGTAGTCGTAATGTAATTAGCCTTTCTCACGCCGCCATATTCTTGGGGTACTGGCCTTTTCCAAATCTGAGATTGTACGCAGTGAATAGGGGATTTGTACAGTATAACTATAATTGTGAGTATAATCATTATATTTCACATCCCTTAGATTTTTTACGTCGTTTTCAAAAAAGTGCCCCAAAATGGCGAATTTGGCCTTCGTGAGAAAGGCTAATCATGCAATTACTGTAATTTACGCCACTTTCATATTTTAAATTTTAAAATTCTACGCCCCCTAGTGGAAATCAGTTCTTCTTGTAGTAGGGGTTAGCGTAATGAAAAAGTTTACTGTAGTTATTTAGGAATAAATATACATTGTGCTATTGTGGCAATTACAGTCTACTTAAACAATGGTACGAAGATGTTCAAATAAAATAGTACAAAAGTGTTACTTAATAAATAATTATTACCTATATAACATATTAAGATTATAAAAAAATTATTAAACAGTTCAAAATATCTTTACAGAAGACCAGCTTCTTTTTTCTTCTTGGTAATTTCATCTTCGATAAAAGCAATTTTCTTTGCCAACAATTCTTTCTTCATGGTAAATCCATCAAGTTGATTCTTTACCAAATCTTTGTTTGATTGTTGTTCTTCGGAGACCGACATCAACAATTGTGATTCTCTGTTAACCACTTGAACAAGCTCGGCGTTCTTCACGTCAAGATGTCGTTGAAGTTCGTTGAGTTGGGCCAGAATGAGGTCTTTTGGAGTTTTGAAGTGACTTCTTGCTCTTTGATTGGCCCTAACAACGACAAACAGTGTTAACTCGACTGAAACTTCAAATTAAAAATTGTACATTTATATGTATATCATCATATGCAATCAGTGGCTACTCAACCAGGGACCGTAATGTAACGGATCACGGTTGAGAAAAAAATGGTGGGGAACTATTATGTTGCAAAGATTTTGAAGGGATTTTGTTGAAAATTCTTTCCCCGATGAGCCACAAAGTCTACAAAATAGTAAAATACAATCTGAAGACTTTATGGTAAGGAAAATTTAAACCGTATTTTAAAAATAATAAATCTGCTTTTACTTGCTCTCAAGTGTTTTCTTGTCTACATTCTACAATGTGATTTTATGTTTATAGCAGTAAGCCTTTTCCCTCTTTAAATAGTCTTTTTTCTGTGCTTCGATTTCCCAAATAACTTTCCTTATAGCTTCCAACTTTTTCGATAATTTTGCCTATGCATTTTAGGTGGCAGTAATGTTGTTCATTCGATTTTAGCGACAATAGGATTGCGTGCACATTATACGACTTTTCAACGCAAATTACTATATAACATTTCGGGAAACCATAAACCAACTTTGTGTTTGGGTGTCCTGGAGAAGTTCCAGTGTGTGATACGAAAATTTTTATTGTTTTAGCACAGCCAATTAGAATTGATGGTGAAATTAGACTTACCTTTGTAAAGTTGTGGTAGACGTGTCTTTTTTCGTGCCTCGTAACTGCTGTAAGCGGGTAGCTGCAAATTCTTTTGTAGATTTCGTTGGACTATGCAGCGTTGCCAGGTAACCTCGTAGTTTCGCTTTATCCATGTACGAGTTTTGGTCAATTACACGTCTATTTATAGCCTAAACGAAAGCGCACGATGAATTAATGAGGAAATTCCGTCAACGTGGACATGCAAATGAAAATAGTTGAAGGGTATTGTAGATGGAAATTATCGAGTGGAAATTTATATACATTTATTAGACCTAACCAGGAACAGCTGCGAAAAATACAACTTTAGGTCCCTGGCGGGAATCGAACCTGCGGCCCTCTACAAAGGCCAGTTGTCGAGCTCTAACCACAAGTTCATGTATATACACTAGGATACTGCCATGTGCTGGTTATGTAAAATGAAAAACCCTTTATGATGAGACAGGCAAGGGCTATCATGCAGTCAATTGCTCGTACTGCAATACACCCACTACACCCTTTCCATAATTACGTCACACATACTTTTTGATCTTGGAGCTTCGCTCTCATTAAATTACGCAAGGTGATTGGCTCACGATTCATCAGAGCGAGGCTCCCAGGCCAAATGACGTAACTATCGAAAGGGTATATTGGAATGAATTTAGTCAATTCAATATAAAGTACCTTTGGTGAATAATCGAGATCGTTGATACTGGTCACTTTTATATTAACCAGTTCACTGACAACATTGGTACGTTGAGGCATTGAGGTGACATGTTGGAATGCCTTTTCGAGAGGAGATTTGCCATTCGTTGTCGCGCCATTAACAAGAGTGTGTGCCGCATCAGTGGAACGAGCACGAGCAAAGAAGAGATCTTGACAGCATATTCGCATTGCCTGGGAGAAAATATATTTAGCATGAGCAAGATAACGTGCGAACTAAGTAGTCTAGTAAAAGTAAGATGGCTTGTTATAGTTTTAATCAGTATCATATCGGTGAGTAATTTTTATGTAGTCATGATTTATATATAGTTATGGAGTTATCTGACTTTAGAATCTTGAAAACCAGCTGGAATATTGCGTCATGGTGGGAATGGCGTTCAGGGTTTAACATCTTATAACAACGTACGACAGTCTGTAAGTCTGTAATAACCTCCTACAATTTTATATTTTCACAAAATTTCGATTCGACATGATACATGTTCGCATGCGTCAGGTTTATCACGCGAGACAAACGTGTGTTTATGTGTCTCGCACGACTTGCTATTAACGTTTGATACTGTGTTAGAACATGATTATCGCTAGTAGTATATCGCCATGCTGCCCATGAATGTAGTTTGCTATACACACAGAAATGCACTTACCTTGTAGAAAGCTCGCAAAAACAACGGATTCTGATCATCAGACAGATCGTCCACAAGTATGTGCGCTAAACAATGCATAATGACGACAACAAAATCACCAACAGAATGGAGCCGTTCTTCACGAACAAAGAGAATCTGTCGACTGTGCTCGTAGAAAAATGAATGTCGGAATGCATTGTTATCGTAGTTATTTGGAGGTAGGTTGGAAGCAAGTAGTAATGTCACCGAAGGTACATTCATTCGATTTTCTAAAAGCTGTGTCACGAACACCCCAAAACGATATACCACAAAATTTGCCGGCGATAGCTCATTTATATCAACCGGCATTAAGTCCCCGGAACAGAGCCATTGTGCATCCTTCAGATCTATATACGGCCTTCCTCGACTTGCTCCCACCACTGCATTTCCTCCCACAATAATGCCTTGATTCAAAAGTTCTTCAATTTCGTTGACTCGTTCAAATACAGGAGAAGATATAAGCAGGGATAACCAATCGTTTTCCGACATGTTTTCGGGAAGACCAATTGTTACAACAGGAGACCCACTTGCACTTGTTGTATGCCCCAATGTAGAAGCAGTTTTTCCAGTTTGAGAGCTTGGAGTGCTTGATACTGCCGTAGATTCGTGACGCGCAAGTTGAACACCATCCATGCGACCTTCGCCTTTTGGTGAGGCTATTTTAGCGTTGTCGATACCAGACTCTTTTCGTTTTCTTCTCCTCGCTTCCAGTTTCTCTTTCAGAGCAGCTTTCATACGTTCTTGTTCGCTTTGTAAATGTTTTTGGAATTTCGCCATGTTTGCTTCGTGTTCCTTCAGAAGACGCTGGAAACAAACAAAAACATAAATTTATTATAATATGCACAACACACTTATATAAAATACAAAACAATAGATACTCCGAAAATTGAAAGCATTTTGAAAAATTTATTTCGACGTTTCGACTAAACTATAGTCATCATCAGGAAATGAATGATCGATAACTAATCGTATCTTGTTACTTCACTATATATACTTGTACATATGTAATATCATCATCATTCATTTCCTGATGATGACTATAGTTTAGTCGAAACGTCGAAGTAAATTTTTCAAATTGCTTTCAATTTTCGGAGTATCTATTGTTTTGTATTTTATCAAAATACTCAGTGGTTCCCGTAACACTTATATAATTTATATCAACTTCAGCCAAATTTTGTCCCATCGAATATTTAGGAGTGAGTAAGCAATAGATTCCCTTCTGTCAAATAGTTCATACAAACTAGAAATATAATAATGGCAGTGGTGGCCGGATGTTGATTTTTATTTCAATGCTGGATATTGTAGGGAGTGCACCGAATCTACCCCAAGATATGACGGGCTCACCTCTTTTTCCGGTTCAGCCTGTCCTCGCTGTGCGATCTCCAATTTTCTCTTGGCTTCTCTTTCCTCGCTTTGTTTTCGTTTCCTGCATTCACGTTCTGTTTCTCTTTCTGCCAAACGTAGAGCTTCGCGCTCCCGCTCTTTTTCGAGCTCTCTTTCCATTCGCCTAAAAATAGTGATACGGAATCATTATTACTCATCTTTTAACAAACACGGTATTTGCGTTGTTTTTTTGTTTTGGATCTTTTGAAGGACATTACAGATTATACTTTCTTAAAGTGATACTGTGTTTTTTCTGTTATTGTATAGAGTAGGTGTATAAAGAAGTTTTCTCGCAAAATTTTACTGCAATATCTCAAATCCTGACACACTTATACGAAGATAAAGTTCGAATTTTCACAGCCGCCATTAAAATGCGCCATATTGGAAAGGTCAAGTGTTTAGGAGACTGTGACGTCATAGTTTTAACTGTTGCATCGCGTGTATAGTTGCCATATTTTGATACATAATGTGACAGGTCCAATTATATGAACTCACGCAATATTTATTATTTTCACTCGACCTAAAATATGTTTTTAATAACAAGATCTACGATATGCATTAATATTAAGGTTGTCCTTGCTACATACAATTATAAATGCTTAAAATAGCTGTTCTCTACCGAGTAGACAAACATGGAAGACACTTAATGAAGTCATAAATAAGAAGCGGTCAAAATTGAAATTCCCATCATCATTTAAAGTAGATAATTTTGAAATTTCGGATCCTATAGAAATTGTTAATAGATTTTGTAACTATTTCTCAAATATAGGTCCAAATCTTGCTAAAAGAATACAATCTACTCCTAACTCTCATCTAAATTCTCTTGTAGGCCAATACCCTAATTCCATATTTTTTAACCCGGCAACAGAAAATGAAATCATTGAGACTTCTAAACGTTTTCAATCAAACAAAACATATGGACATGACAAAGTTCCCATGTTAATAATAAAGCAAACTATAAACATAATTGCTAAACCTCTAACTCATATTATCAACTTATCTATTACTCATGATATTGTGCCAAATGAAATGAAGATTGCTCGTGTTATTCCCCTGTTTAAATCAGGTGATAGAACACTATTTACAAATTATAGACCAATTTCTATTCTTCCTAGTTTCTCGAAATTTCCGGAAAGAGTTATATATAACGGGATGTTAAATTACCTGAATAAAAATAGTATCTTGCCTGAAAACCAATATGGTTTTAGAAAAAACCATTCCACTTCTTTAGCCCTGGTGGATCTTTATGATAAAATATCACTAGCAATTGATCAAAAAGAGTTTGCAGTTGGTGTATTTTTAGACTTATCTAAAGCCTTTGACACTTTAGACCACAATATTCTTTTTGATAAACTTGACCATTACGGAATTCGTGGATTAGCTTTGGACTGGATGAAGAGTTATTTCTCAAATAGAACACAATTCGTTCAGTTCAATTTAATGATTACTGTTCCTGTCCTAATAAAATACAATGTGGGGTCCCACAAGGTTCTATCCTTGGTCCGCTGCTCTTTTTTAATTTATATGAATGATATAATCCATGTGTCAAGTATATTGGAGCTTATCTTATTTGCGGATGATACAAACTTATTTATTTCGAATAAAGATCCAATACAATTAACTAATATTTTGAATATTGAAATTAGAAAATTGTCAGACTGGTTTAAATCAAATAAGCTTTCATTAAACTTAGAAAAAACAAAATTTATTGTATTTAAACCAAGACAAAAGAAATATAATTATACTTTTCAAACAATCATTAATAATGAATATATTGAGCAAGTGAAAGAAACTGTCTTTTTAGGGGTAGTTGGATGAGGAATTATCTTGGAAATCACACATTTCGTATGTAGCACGTAAATTGTCTAAATCCATAGGAATAATGTTAAGAGCCAGTTTTTATCTACTTAAGAAATCCTTACTCACTTTGTACTATTCAATTGTTTACCCGTATATCCAATATTGTAATATTGTTTGGGCTTCAACGTATCCAAATAATCTTCATCGTATCAATATACTGCAAAAGCGAGCAATTAGAATTCTAAATATAAATATAAATTTGATGCACATACAGAACCTTTATTTAAGAACTGTTCTATCCTTAAAGTTAACGATATTTTTCTATTTCAACTGGGTAAATTTATGTATTCTTATCGCAGTAGTATTTTACCAAATAAATTTAATGACATGTTTCTATCAAATTATCAAGTCCACTCATATAATACAAGGAGTGCGATGGCCATTAGAACTCCATTGTGTCGTACAAATATCCGACAATTTTCTGTAAGATTTCAGGGTCCAAAGTTTTTTAACTCACTACCTATATTGATATTATTAATATTACTTATTTTGTTTCTTTTAAAAGAAAATTAAAAAATTATTTATTATAAAATAAATAATTACCTTATACATTAAAATGATTTTTTTGATTTCTTATATATATTTATAACGAAATGAACGAATATTCTTTGTTACTGTGCGCTAATAGAATCAAGTGTGTATCTATGGTGTGAATTTATATTTATTTATTATCCATTAATACCTACACTCCTATTATCCATAATTTATCAAATCTTGAAATGTTATTTGATATTTATATATACCCTCGATAAATGAGGATGCTTAAATTTACATAAGTCTTAAGGTTTCTTTTTAATTTTTAAGCTTCCTCGCCACTATTATCACTAATTATTGTAAATAATTTCTTTTTTCTTTTCAAAATGTTGTAATGGTGGCAACTTAAATTATTATTATTATTTAAAATGTTGTCCATTGACAGTTTCATAACTGTTGTGTCCATATTGTTCGGCTAGTATGGTGGTGGTTGACTACCATATGCTTGTGGTTGAACAACAGGGTAAACTGCGCCATAATTAACAATTGAACCACTAACAACAGCTGTTGTAACTGGTACTGTTCCTGGTGACGACACTATCAAACCGGGCGATCTACGGCGATAGGAACAGCAATAGCACAACAAAACAACAACAATTGTAGTAGTTATACCAAGAACACTCAGTACAATTAGGACGATAATCCAAACAGCTAAACCACAGTCCCCGTCTTGACATGTATAATCACAACAGTGTTCATTAAGACCGCCGCAGTCTGAGTGATATACGCAATCGTATCCAACACAGCTATCGCGACATTCCCCGTAATTACAACACACTTGTGATCCAGAGCAATCGCTGTTTCCGCTGCAAAAAGCTTGAGATTCCCCGTACAAAACGACGAAGCACGCAATAAACAAGGCGGTTTTAACAACAACCATATTTTAATACTCAAATTCAAAACGAGCTCTCAGTTCGACGCAATCAAGCAAGCTGTTCATATAATATCTTGCAACATTTTTGAACAAAGTTTCAAGTTACAAAATAATGTAGGCGCAGTGACGTAGCCAGAATTTCTGGTCAAGCCCCTCCCCCCCGAAAAAATCCCTGGACGGGCCAAAGCAAGTTTACCCTGTGCTGCTAGTTCGAATAAAGTGAAAATGTATTTCTATCCATGCAGTTTTGCAAACTTTATTGCACATATTTTACGGTTTAAATTCATCCCTGAGCGAATTATGTCTCGACTTAATCGTTAACACTAGAAAGTAATCAGTGAGATACTTCATCCACTTTTTAGAGGGTGGGAAAGGGGGGGGGGGGGTATAGATCACGTTTCACAACGAAAAAAAGCCGTTTCACGATTCACGTGTCTTAAAAAAGCAATTTCACGGAAAACTAGATTCTAATAAAATAATATAATAATAATAGGTTTATTAAGAGTATGTTTAATGCATGGTACAGTGTCTACGCTATAAGTTCTCTCACTTCTCTACCTGTCAGTTAAAAACTACATCATAACGTACAAGTTTGCCAGCGACGAACATGTACGACGACCTCCGAAAGGCCTCCGAAGTTTTTACTCTTGTGTATCATGTTTATTATGACTACCGGTATTATAAAATAGATCGAAATGAACAAAGCAAAATCACAGTTCACGAAACAGACATCCTTAATTCTCATTTCACGGAACATTTTTATAGACAATCACGCCTCGCGGCTGTGGAACAAATCACATTTCACGACACTAAAATTAAGCATTTCACATTTCACGCGAACAAATATTGACCATTCACGGCTCACGAAAATACCCTTTCCCACCCTCTTTTTAAGCAAAAAATCTGGCAGTAAGGTCTATCCCCCCCCCGATCTTTTAGATTTAATAGCCAGCCCTTGGGTGGTCTGGTACTGCCGGAGGAAAATAAAACATTTTAATTAATAAAGCAGACAGCTGTTGTCGAAACATGCGGGCGAAATATTGTTGACAAATCTCATTAAAGATTCAAGTACTTGAACGTTGAACGTGAATTTAATTTTATTACGTCTAGTTGTGAAGCAATACCTAATCTCGTCGTCCATCTTTTCTTTTTGGGTGACACTTTGCTTTCGTCTTGTTTCTTTCAATTGGTTGATTTTCTCCGAGATGGCAAAAGTTGTTCGTTCTTGGAATTCCTTCGCATTTTGAGCTGCTCTCTCTGCCTCTTCTTCATAAGACTTGCTCAATTCCTGGAAACATGAAAATACAAACTATTTTAGAAAAGTTCATATTTGGAAAAAATAAACTATTAATAATCTTCGATCCTAATACGAAATTTTTGAACGAAAATAATCATAATGGTTTGAAATAAGCCAGTGTTTTCACAGTGCATCTAGCCTGTGCATCCAAATGACGCGTTCTGCGTCGGGATAAACTGCAGTTGAACTATTACATATTCCAAGAACAATTAGTTTCTGCACGGTTTGATTCGCTTTAAATTAGAAAACATATTGCCTTAAGTAAGTGTACCTTTCTTTATTTTGCTTTACGCAGAAGACAAAATATACTAGTACAAAAATGATTTAATGGGCAGTTCTATACTGTAGCTTTAAGTGTAACACAAATAACGATTAAACAGCTGAAC